TCGGGCATAAAAATTTTTATTGAGCTTGGGTTCGAGTATACAAATACCCACCTATTTCAAAACCGATAGACTAAATGGCCCTCAAATGACCCCGGTCATTTCTAAATGACCATGGTCATTTGGTCACGAGTCATTTCCAAATGTCCCAAAATTGAGATGACCGATAATGACCAGTCATTTTGGGGTCAGTCATTTAAGGTCATTTGAAAAATTTGCAAATGACCAGGTCATTTACCATCACTGATGTTTAACGTACCAATTTAGGTAATAGAGCAATATCCCCAGAATTCTCAAATATACCTTCAGTTACAATGAATCTTCTAGTAAGCCTTCTTCCAGACTAATAAATAAAATTCAAAAAAAATTTTGAAATTGCAAAGAAAAATAACAGATACAACTAACATACCTCAATATCTTCATTCTTAATTTTTAGTAAAATATTTTCAAGATCTTGCATATCATTGTGCTTGTACCACTTAATGACAGATCGAGAAATTTGTATACCTTTTTGAATCGCAAAGTTACATCCTTGATCACTGATAATAAATCAAAAAAATTTTTTTTTATAAAAAAAATATATCTTTATAACGAAAAATTAAGAGAATAATAACCTACGCGACAATAATGTCACCTCTTTTGCAAAATGAAGGAATAGCAGAACCAATTGTAGAAAAGGCCTGAGAATATAATATAGTGTCATCTGTTCCGAGAAATTCTGAAACTGTTCTTTCAAATTCAGTATGAACATCTGTTTTATGTATACATTTATAATTTGAATCATAATGAAATTATTTCAAAAGTATGAAATATATTATTTATTAAATAAGAAAGATACCTATTGTGCCATAAAATCCTGGAGGTCCACATGAACCTACACCATATTTTCTAAGAACTTGTATAGCTTTTTCCTAAATAAATAATATACAGTAGTTATTTATTGTAAATCATCAAACTACTCATTTCCATAAACAATTTATAATAAATGAGATTAATTAATTATTAATAATTAAATACCTTAATTAGCTCATTTTTTGTTAATCCAAGAAAGTCAAAACTGGCCAAGTTTATCAAAGAACTATTTTTGCAATTTACTAATTTAACTCTTGGACCCTGAGGACTATTATTATATAATAGATTGACATAGATTAATATCGATCAAATGAAGATCAAAATGATCATAGGACCTAGAGAATTTAGAGGATCTAGACCAATATTAAAGCCTACCCATTTAGAATTGGAGTTTTTTCCAATTCTATACGTTGATTTTCTGTAATAGTTGGTACAAGTGGTTCTGGTTGCCACTCTTCAACTAATTCTTCAATTTCCTAAAAAAAAAAAAATTCAAAAACCACTATTTTCAACAACAATAAAACAAAAAAATTTTTTTAATAATTCAAGAGACTTACGCTCGGAGTTAGATCGATTAATTTATTATCGGTACGATATTTATTTGTAAGCAAATATATAATACCAAAAAGTACCAATAAAACTTCCAAAAAAGTGCGAAATGGATCATTTTGATGAGAATTTTTTATATATTTCAAAAGAATTCCGGAACCTGGAATTCTTGAATAAACTATTGAAATGTGGGTAATTGTGCTATTAAGGAAAACGAATAGGTCATTGAGTATTGGATAAGTTGTATTCATTTTTATATATAGCTTCGAAATCATGATGAAATGATCGAGAGAAGATTCAATCGTTAGATTATAATTAGAGGAAAAGAAATTACCAATATTAGTAGAATTATTATACCTTAGCGTTAGATAATATTTTTTTTTTTTTTTTTTACGTAATATTCTGTTAAATTTTTATGATATCATATGGCTTGAATTAGTTTTATCTTAAATCAAATTTCGTACAGTAGGATTGAATTTAATATAGTTTACCAAAAAATTTATAAATAGTTTTTTCTCTGAAAAAAATGATAAATTAATATTGGATTTTTTTGCAACAATAATAATGAATGATGATGATGAAAACAAATTACCCAATTATGACTTAATAAACACATGCTTGAAACGATACATTCTACGTAAAAAAATGCATAACGATAATTAACAAGTTTTTATTAAAATCTTGATGATTTAATATATATTTAATATTTGAGCATTTTATCATCAAAATAACAGTAACTTTTATAAATTTATTAATTATTAATTAATTAATAGAGAGGCCTTAAAAAGAAAAGTGGCCTATTCAGAATTATTTATTTTTCACTACGTACAGCGATCATAGTTCGAACAGATTAGATTAAATTGGGAATGACGATTTTAACCAAATTTAAAATATTCGTACATAATTTATCGGCAATAAGTCATTTTCATTATCAAATGTAATTCTTACCTATTATAAAAATTGATACAACTATCAAATAATCAAAACAAGAAAAAAAACAAAAATAAATGTCGGGAATGAAATCCAGAATGATATTCTAATCCTACTTTGTATTATATATGATTTAAAAAAAAAAATTTTTAACGATTTCGGTCTAACGTGCCACGGTTACCTATGAAAGAGATCAGATCTGGGGACTTTTCTATCTATGTATTCGTTCAGATCTGTGGTGTAATCTTAAATCCCACGATCAAGGTTTTTTATTGGGCAAAAAAAGGGCTTGCCAAATTCTCCTCAACATGACACAATAAGCCTCATAAACTATAACGTAATATTATCATAACAGATAGGCAATGTGTGCGTGTGCGTGTGTACAGTACATACATACGTATGCGAGTATGATCGGTTCTACCTATTGTACATGTGCAAGTTGTGCAAGTAAAGAATCATATGATGTTGTGATGTATAAAACATACCAACGTTTTACGTGTTTATTATGGCGTGATTTTAGGAATGCATCTGCTCTTTGCGAAGTCGCTCCTGATCCACTATGCATTATGTCGAATCTCGAAAAAAATTTTCCTCGTATTTTTTTTTTTTTTTTTGCAATAAGCGAACTACTGTATTATCTAATACATCCTACGAGGACAACATTAATAATACTTTTTAGGAGAGCAAACGACCAAATGCAATGAAGGTATCAATCATGCTAAATAGAATAACTGCTCATCGTAATTGAAAAGAAGCTTTTAAAAAACTATTGAATAATTACTACAATTGACTAACCATTTTGCCAAAAACAATATTAGAATCTTCTCCCTTCTCCATTTTTTTTACCCTTTCTTTCAATTCTCTTACTAACGCTTCCAATTGACCGTTCTCAACGGGCCCAACAGTTTTAGATTCAGCCCATTCCAATTGAGCTTTTAATTCATGAACTTTTTTACGTAAAACCGAATTTTCTTTTTCCATTTGAGTAGCTCTACGTTCTAAATTCAAGACGTAAGCTTTCTTTCTTTCACGACATTCTTTGGCTGCAATTCGATTTCGTTCTAAACGAATAGCTCGTTTTTCTTCAAGTGTTTTGACGCGCTTTGTTTCATTATCTTCTTCATCATTTTCAGAAGATTGTGTTTGATGACAATGATTTGTAGGTTCTGGAGATGGAGATGTGGATGACGTAAGTGATGGTGGCTGATTTTCGAGCTTTTTTGGTAGGTTTAGAGGTGGAAGATGAGGTGGATGAATATTACTATTACTGGCAGGATTAGGTGGTGGTAGCACGTTATTGTATCTTGGTCCTGTGGAAACTTGAACATCCGGAGAATTGAAAGGAGCATTAAAAAAGGTAATAGCGTTAACATTACTCGCTTGTTTTCTTTCGGCGTTGTGAAACGTTTGAGGATAACGGGCAAAACTTTGTTGTGCAAATTGGTTCATCACTGTTTTACAATCGAACAAAATCAAAATAATTTATCTATTTGAAAAAAAAGGGGAGAGTGATTATGATCTACGAAGATGGAAAAAGATATTTATAATACTTGTAAAGAGAAATTATGACATATAATTAACGTCATATGTGACATGTTTGCTAATGACATCATTGAATTTCATTGGAAAGATATAATACGGATATTTGACTAACTTCATGTGACTCGTCAGTTAATAACTATTCATACCATTATTCTGATGTTTCGATGATCGTATTAGTCAGCACCTCGGAAACAATTTATTTCGGTTTCGATCGTCAAAAGTTTGTTATTCTTGTATTTTTCAAAATATTTATTTTACAAATAAATTATTCTTGGTTATCGTTCCGTTCATTCTTCGTTGATTTCTATACTCGCGAACTTGAATTCATTCTCGCACTGAACCGGTTTAAAGGGGTTAGTTTGTGTCAATTTTGTGTCAATTTTGTTTCAATTTTGTATGTAAACATTTCCTTTTCCTTGAAATAAAATAGTTTCCTTAAATTGAATGGAATAGTAATTCAACGTCACATTATAACTGGAATTTGTACGATAAACTCCAAGAGAATTCAGCCAATTTGATTAGATCGAAGTTTATGTTTACAAACTTTATTATCACCATCTTATCTCATTAGTACTTTTAAGGAACATCTGTTGTGTGTGTCAAACCAAAAAAAATTCTATAAAAGGTTTTCATTCTTTTTTTACTTTTCACATGTTAAACAATTCTGAAACAATATTTTTTTATTCAATATTATTATTACTTTAAAGAGTGCACGGGACACGTGCACATTTGCTTATTTGTAGACGTGGTTTTTGCACATATACATACATATACAGTATTACACATTATATATATTTAACTCTTAAATTGCGAGTCTATATATTTTGTAAATAAGAGATGAAAGAAAGTACAAATTTTATCATTTAAGAATAATTAATAATAATTAAATAATTACGTAATATTGATTTCTAAATACAGACCCAGACTCAATATTATCTGCATATAAAGCAAGTTAGGCTGAATTTTATGATTACATCAAATAAATATTATTTAAACTCGAGTAATAGAATCGAATGAATTCAATTTGTACTACGTCATAAAATATTCACCCTCTTTCTCCTTTCCAGGGTTAGCAAATTGATTTTTAATAGCGATTACGACATTGTATGACATAACAAAATACACATCACAATTAGAAAATTTAGACCAGTTCATGAGTACTGTACGTACGTACGTACGTATGTATGTACGTATAAGCAGTCAACTAGGACTTTTGGGGTATTAATAAAAAACCCGGTATATTATATACTGCACCTTTTACTATTCATATTAACGGATTTATGATAAATTTTCTAATTTAAAGATACACTATTTTTTATACAAATATTTTTATCGTATTAAGTAAACTACAGTTGTACTTCTCTATAATTACTTGGCTTGTTTTATGCAAAAAATATAAGCTGTGCTTATATAGAAGTATTTTTTATAAATTTATAAATAAATTTTTTTTAAAAGTTAAGGTGATTATATAGAATTTGTAATTATATAGAAGGTGATTATTGAGGAGTATAACTTTATTTTTAACTTTCAAAATATAAATTAGATTTTTTTTTTAATACTGTATACAGTATTAAAATTATTAAATAAAAGATTTTTATAGTATTTTAACTTAGAATATTTGGGCAGCCGTCAATAGAAATCAAGCAAATCTACATTTGAAAAAAAATTTAATTAACTTTCGCAGCTCATATCTTGATGGATTTTAAAGCTATCTTGATGATTTAATATTTAAAAGAAAGCCTATGATTTAAGCTATCTTTGGAATATTAAACCATCATGATAACTTTAAAATTCATCGAGAGGATGTTCTATAGAATAGGTGAGCAATATATAAAATAAACTCCACTAATAATTAGTAATTATTAATAAATATTTAGCGGAGTTGCGGAGTTTGCGGAGTTTGCCCACCTATTCTATAGAACATCCTTTTAATTTTTAAAAACCTTATTCAAAAAAATAAAATTTTTACTAAAAGTTTGGAAAATTTTTAAATTTGCTCTTATAGAGAGACATTTATCTAATTGGTTGATTTTTGTAAATTTACTTGTGAGTCTCTATAATAATTAACCAATTAAATTTTTTTTTTAATTAAAGTAATCCAGTACCATATAGTTGTGAAATAATGCATATGAGCATTATTTCGAAATTCGACTCCCTTAAAAAATACCATATCTGGTTCATAATAACGTGCATGCGTGTCCCGAAATAACACACACCACCAATAGCATGTTTTTGGTCAAATTAAGATGAAACCACCTGTTTTAGAAAATCAATTGTTTGTTTCGAAATAATGCACATGGGCGTCCCAAAATAACGCGCAGGGGTGTGTTATTTCACAACTATATGGTAAACCTAAATATAGTACTTATCTGTGGCCTAAACTAACCAGAGCGGCCAAAGCTCATCTAGATTTCAAAAATAGTGAAAATATGAAAAGGTTGTAAAAAGTATTTAATCCAGTTAGAATACCATAGATCAAATTTAAAAGAGGAGTTAATAATTGTAGAGTTATCTGAGATAAGACTTGAGAGTGTAGAGAACAAAGAAGATTTGTATATAGAGTCATGAATTTGAAAGCTATCAAGGTTTGTAATTTTAGAGTAGAGTTGTTTCACTTAGAACTAAGAAATCTGAAGCTTATTGTAATTTAATATAATTTGTAAGAAATTTTGAATGAGATTAAGTAAGCAAATAAAGGAAGAGCAAATAGTCTAGTATAGTGAAGTACTTTCTTGTTAGCACAAGTAACATTTATTAGAGACAGATGGGTATCTTTTGTAAAGAATATAAGGTGTTGGTAGATCATCTAAAAGTAATTTAATTTTGAAGGATTTGTGTATAAAAGACTGAAAGCAATAAAAAAAAACAAATTTGAAACCATTTTTAAAAGCAGGTTTGTGATAACCAGTTAGCAAAAATATGTATATAGTATATTGTTTTAATACAATAATGAATAGGAAGTTTAATTGGATAGCCAATAAAGTAAAGAGTAAATGAAGGGTTATATATATTATTTGAATTGAATATAAAAAGTGGTGCAGTTTAATAGTTGCAGACAAGTTGTTCTGCAGTGTTATTAAAAATATCATTCTAATAGGTATTGACTTTGTAAGAGATGATATTTATATTATATGATTAAGAGAATTTGAGTAAGTGTTTCAGATAGACCAGTAAAGTGTATTTATAGAATAAGAAGTAGTGTTTTAATAAAATATATTGTTAAATTACTGATTGGGAGTCTGTATAAAGATGTTCTATAGAATAGGTGGGCAGACTTCGCAAACTCTGCAACTTCATTAAATATATATTAATGATTACTAATCATTAGTAGAGTTTATTTTTTATATTGTCCATCTATTCTATAGAACATTTCTATATAGTTTTGTACTATATAGTTTTGAGAGGCTGTGCAAATAATAAACACTATTGCAATAATTTCTGCCTTAAAGAAGTATAGCCATAGCTTGATTTTTGCTTAAAAGTTGTAAAGTATATTTTGATTTTTTACTTGTAGCCAACTGATATTTATAGAGCATTGGGTATTGCTTATATTAATTACTAAACTATCAGTATAGAAGCTAAAATTTTGATTATAATTAGCTATTGTTTAAAGAATTTGTAATGTGTTACTAGATAAAAATATAGAAGAGATTTGAGATTGTTTAATAACAAGTTTGGGTATAACTAAAATAAAGATAGAGTTGAAAAGTAGAATAGAATATATAAGATCTTAGTAGTTGGCATAAAAGTTAACTAATTTGTTTGAGTTAATATAGCCAAAAAAATTTGCTACCAAGTTTGTTGAAATAAAGATAGTGTATTTGTTTAAAATAATATTAGAATTAAGTATATATAATACAAGATATAAGAAAGATAGAAGGAAGTAGATAAAGATATAGTAAATAGGTAAGATTATGATATTGCTAGTGAGTTATCAAAGTGTATCTAGTGGTAGTAGATTGGTGACAAGTATTGCCAACAATAAATTAATTGTCAATTTGGAATACTAGCCAGAGTTTAGTATACTGATAGAAATAACTAGTGCTATAGCTATAATAGTTGGTTAATAAAAAATTAAAATGTAGATAAATAATGTGCTCAAGGCGGTTATTAATAGTTAAGTTTTCTAGTACTGTGAACTACTGAGATATTTTGCCTTTTGAAATTTTGTTTAGTTTAGAAAAAATGTGTTGCTATTTTAATAAACAAAAGTTATTAGATGTTGTAAGTTGATTAAAAAAGAGTTAATGTTGTTAGCTGAAATTGTTTTATGCTTGTAGAAATATTTCAACATTTGATATTTAGTCTGCCGAAATGTCTAAATATTGCCGAAATTCTAAATTATACCGAAATGTCTAAATAATATCGAAATGTCTAAATAATGTCAAAATGTCTAAATTAAAAAATATATATGAAAAAAACATAACGATAAGAGAATTAGAGCTATTAATCAGTTCTGACTAAAACCGCTAGTCCTGTGGTCCTCCTTAGAACAGGGCCAATCTGGTCTTTTATGGGCCAGACAGACCAAAAAAACTATCAGTCTGAATATAGTAGCTTTAAATTATTGTAACAAACATGTGTAGCCTAATTTTTTATATATACGAGGTTAATTTTTTTAATACTGTTGTATCTAAATATTATAAAGCTGTTGCAGTAATTGTTAAAATACTGTAATGCTGCAAATAATATATAATAACATAAAATAAAATTCTGCTAGTGTTTATTATTTAAAGCAATTTTTAGAATTAAGATATTTACTGGTTTTGTGAATAGGAAATTATTGATCATCAAAGTTCATAGCGAAAGATCTTAATTTTTTTTTACTGTTCAGTCAAGATTATTTCTTATAGCTGTGAGTTTGTTTTTGGATTATCCTAAAATAAAAAAACTTGGTTTTGAACATT